GAGAGAGAGAGAGAGAGAGAGAGAGAGAGAGAGAGAGAGAGAGAGAGAGAGAGAAATTGCCTTATAGAAAATGTGAATATCGTCCATAACTAAATAAACATGACGGGCGTGTTTGTGTGCCTGAGCCGATAGTCCGCTGTGGTTTTTGGGTTTGCAGATTATTGCTTCAAGCATCGGCAGGGAACTCGCCTGGCTGTCATTCACCATCCTGAAGAGTCGTTGATAGCCGAGTAAAGTCTGTCACAACCCTGGTTCCCCTTCTAAACCTCCCTTTTTGTCAACGTCTCTCTCTCTCTCTCTCTCTCTCTCTCTCTCTCTCTCTCTCTCTCTCTCTCTCTCTCTCTCTCTCTCTCTCTCTCTCTCTCTAAGCCCACCAGTCCATCGGTCCGCAGCCAGTCATTTAATTTGGTCAGTCAATCAGGTTGTAGATGTGTACGATGTAACTGAATTGGTTTCAATGGCTAGATGTTCCTTGTGCCAAATATTTCGTTTGTAATGACCAGGGAAATATGTTGTTTTTAGTTCAACATGTACTAATGTAATGGTTTAGCCTTCTCCTCCTGTAATTTGCTGCCCCTCCCCCCGATCCTTCTCCTTTGCTCCCTTCCCTATTCAACTTCCCCGACGCTTTCACTCTTTTTCCCCTCGCACACATTCTCTTCTTCCGTCCTCATCCCCTCCCCTCGTTCCCTCCTCCTCGTTCCGCATTCGTTGTTCCATTCCTTCCTCGTCTCCACACCATTGTCGGTTCCGCCCCTCTTCGTTTCCATCCCTGCTTTCCTTCTCTCATCCTTCTTTCATCCTTCTTTGCTTCCCTCCTTGCCTCCTTCCGTCCTTCCCTCCTCTCCACCTTTCCTCCCCGCCGTCCTTTCCCCCTTCTCCACGTTTCCCCTTCCCCGCTAGGTTCAATGCTTTCCTTGCTTTCCAATTATTTTTCATGACGTTGATTGTTGGGAACACTCTAGCTTAGCTTGTCTAATGCTTCTTCCTCGCGACTTTCTGTCCAGATATACTGAGGAGCTTCAGCAGGCGAGAGAGAGAGAGAGAGAGAGAGAGAGAGAGAGAGAGAGAGAGAGAGAGAGAGAGGCATGCGTGTGTTTCCCCGTCACCGGAGCAGCGAACTACACCCACGCCCGTATAGGATGAGAGAGAGAGAGAGGGGCGGTTCCGCGAGAGGTTGTTGGCTCTTTTCGACGTCCTCGAACCCGGAACCTCGGTTGCGAATCAAGTTGCGCGCCTCTCGTTGCAGAGAGTGACACGCATTATTGAGATCGTCTGCTCTACTCCCAAAAATTGCTGCGCCGGCTCCCTCTCTTGCTTTGTCTCCTGTCACGAGCGGGCCCGGGGGGAAGGGGCGCGGAGCCCGGTGTTGAGAAGATCAGCAACATCACATCGCCGACGTACGCGTCTCCTGAAGAGAACGGGGACGTGTGCAGCGTTCTTGACACGCGCTCGCGCAGCAGCTGTAGTAGAACCAGATCAGTCGCGCGGGAGAAGGCTCGGCCAGGGTTTGTTTGTGAACGGATAAGAGAAAAAGTTAAGTTACGGAAAGGGGTGGAAGAAAGCAAGGAGTGCGAGGAGGAGGAGCAGAAGACAAGGAGCAGCAGCTCTGGCGATGGCGGAGGGAACTGCGAATGGCGCCTGCGATGTCGTTGGCGATGCGCATGTGGGCGCAAAGCCTTCGACTGCAGTATCGTCGTACACGCCGAAGATCATACTCATAACTGGCGCTGCCGGTTTCATCGCTTCTCATGTGGCCAACCGTCTGGTCCGCCTCTACCCCGAGTACAAGTTTGTCGTTTTGGACAAGCTCGACTACTGTTCCAACTTCCGTAACCTCGAGCCGTCCATGCGGTGCACGAACTTCAAATTCGTGAAGGGCGACATTGCCAGCGCGGATCTGGTCAATTACCTTTTGCTGACGGAGAAGATCGACACCATCATGCACTTCGCCGCGCAAACGCACGTGGATAACTCTTTCGGGAACTCGTTCGAGTTCACGAAGAACAACATCTACGGGACCCACGTGCTTCTGGAGGCGTGCAAGGTCGCCGGAACCGTGCGGCGGTTCATCCACGTCAGCACGGACGAGGTGTACGGGGAGACGGAGGCGGACGCCATCGTCGGCAATCACGAAGCCTGCCAGCTGCTGCCCACGAATCCCTACTCGGCGACGAAGGCGGGAGCGGAGATGCTCGTCATGGCGTACGGGCGGTCGTACGGTCTCCCCTTCATCACGACGCGTGGCAACAACGTGTACGGTCCCTGCCAGTTTCCGGAGAAGCTGATCCCCAAATTCCTCCTGCTGGCGAAGGCGGGGCGGAGCCTACCCATCCATGGGGACGGCTCGAACGTGCGCAGCTACCTGTACGCGGAAGACGTGGCGGAGGCATTCGAAGTCGTCCTTCACAAGGGGGAGGTGGGGCACGTGTACAACATCGGGACAAAGCGGGAGAGAACGGTTCTGGAGGTGGCCACGGAGATCTGCAAGTTGATGGGCCGCGATCCCAACACGACAATCGAGTACGTGGAGGACAGACCGTTCAACGATCACAGGTACTTCTTGGACGACGCCAAGCTCAAGGCCTTGGGATGGGCSGAGAAGACGCCGTGGGAGGAGGGTCTCAAGAAGACCATGGACTGGTACCTCGCCAATCCGGACTACTGGGGGGACGTGTCGGGCGCGCTGGTGCCGCATCCGAGGGGGATGATCTTCGGCGGGGAGAAGGCCATGCTCCTCGGAGACGAGGAGGACGAGKGGAGAGAGGGCGCCGAGAGGCGTGTCGTCGCCCCCCTTCTGTCCTTGACGCCAAGGGCGATGGCGGCCAAGGACTCGTGGAACGTGCTCCCGAAAACTCCGACGGGGATGGTGGTGCCCCCCCGTCTTAAGATGGGCGGCGGCTTTGTCGCCATGAAGGCGCTGATCTACGGCCGCACGGGCTGGATCGGCGGGCTGCTGGGCAAGCTGTGCGAGCAGCAGGGCATTCCGTACGTGTACGGGTCGGGTCGCCTGGAAGACAGAGCTTCGTTGGCGGTCGATATCGTGGCGGTCAAGCCCACTCACGTCTTCAACGCGGCGGGCGTGACCGGAAGACCGAACGTGGACTGGTGCGAGAGCCACAGGGAGGAGACCATTCGCGCGAACGTGATTGGAACCCTCAATCTCGTCGACGTGTGCAAGGTGCATAATCTGCACGTCACCAACTTCGCGACGGGATGCATCTTCGAGTACGACGACGCACACCCCCTGGGCTCGGGCGTTGGCTTCACGGAGGAGGAGAGGGCCAACTTCGCGGGCTCCTTCTACTCGTTCACCAAGGGCATGGTCGAGGAGCTCTTGAGAGCGTACGACAACGTGCTGACGCTGCGCGTCAGAATGCCGATCACGTCGGATCTGACGAATCCCAGGAACTTCATCACGAAGATCACCAGGTACGAGAAGGTGGTCAACATCCCCAACTCCATGACGGTGCTGGACGAGCTGCTGCCGTACGCCGTCGAGATGGCAAGGAATGGCTGCAAGGGCATCTACAACTTCACCAACCCCAAGCCCATCAGTCACAACGAAATCCTCGAGTTGTACAGGGATTACATCGACCCCACTTTCAAGTGGAAGAACTTCACGCTGGAGGAGCAGGCCAAGGTCATCGTCGCGGCCAGGAGCAACAATGAGCTCGACGGGACCAAGCTCAAGAAGGAATTCCCGGAAATGCTCGACATCCGGGACTCGCTCATCAAGTACGTCTTCGAGCCCAACAGCCGGGGACGCAAGTCGGCGACTAAGCCCACGTCGGCAACTAAGTCCACGGCAGCAGAGCATATGGCAGAAGACACCTCCGTGCCGAAGGCCCCGCCTTGCGCTGCTGCTGCTGCTGCTGCTGTTAACGGGCACCTGGGCACCGTGTGCTAGATCTGATCTCCTATTATTCAATTTATTCCCCTCTCCATCTCTTCCTGTGGGTCGTTCTTCGACTCCCACTAAACCTCGGTCTCTGGCCCGAGAAGGAACGCGTATGCGCGAGCACAACAAGCCTGAACTGTTGTGTTTTCAACTGTCTGTCTGTATTCGGGAATTAAAAATTGCTGGGAAGAGGGAAAAGATCAAGCGATGGGTGGGCGTGCCATAAGACATGCCCTTGCTGGCGGGCGCTTTGCGGAGATCTCACAAGTGCGGCGATGGCGAGTGCCTGTCGCTTGCTGATTCTTATTGCTCTTCTTCAAGTGGGCACTGTGTGCTAGACCTGATCTCCTTTAATTTAAGGGGTAACTTCGGCGCAGTCACGAAAACAGTTTGTAATTGCACTTCAGGCAATCCCGCGAATACAACACCCCCCCACGCGACCCCACCGGACCCAAAACGTAGGCCATATACATTCAGCATTACCGGCCCTTTTGCCTCAAGTGCAATGACTGACTGCGCCGTAGTTTTCTCTTAATTTAATTTATCCCTTTCCCATCTCTTCTCTCGGGTCGGCCTTCGACTCCCGCTGAACCTTAGTCCCTGTCTTGAGAAGAAAGGCAAATGCGCATGCGCTCACAAGAGCACAGGCCTGATCTGTTGTGTTTTCAACTCTGCTGTCGAGAACAAGTGCTGGGGAGAGCGAAGATCAAGGGATGGGTGGGCATGCTATAAGTGACGTCCGTGCGGACGCTTTGCTGGGATCTCATAAGTGATGCGGACGGAGAGTGCACGTTGTTCGGCGCATTTTTCCTGATGCTTCTTGTTCTTTTTCAAGTGGCTACTTGAACATTCTTTCTTCACGTTGGATAATGGTGATACGACCATTTGTCATCAAATCAGGGGAACGATACGGGAACCTGCCAGATGATGGACTGAACACATGAATGTGATTATTGAAGTCTTCGGTACGTGTCAAGTGACGACGCTGGAGCAGGACACCAGACACGAAACGCTTTCAATCGGCGCCTCGACAGGTGGTTGGTGGTGGTGGCGATGATGGTGGTGGTGGTGGTAGTGGTGGTGGTAGTGGTGGCTTGACTTTGTAATGGTCGGTGCCTCGGTGTATATCATGGAATAGATTTCAGTCTCACGGATTGCGAAATGCTGACCGTAGATAATAAAGATAAGTTGTCATTATCATTCTTTGTTGTTTATGCTGACCGCAGATAATAAAGA